AAATCAAACTAAAAAACAAACCCAAATTTAAAATTGAAACTTATTTTATTTTTGAGATTAATTTACTTCAGCATTTCTACCTTCCGTCTCCTCCCTCCAGACTCCCGTGCACTCCTCCTCCTTGCTTCCTTTCAAATTCACGGCTAATTTTTTTCACTATTGTCAAAACTTTAAAAGTTTTATATTTAGTGTGTGTGTGTGTGTGTGTGTGTGTGTGCACATGCATATATGCATGTACTAACCACACTTCCCTCTTCCCTTGTGAACGACAGAGGACAACTTTCAGGGGTTAGTACTCTCCCTCTGGGTCCCAGGGACTGAACTCGGGAGATAGTCTTGGCAACAGGCACCTTTACCTGCTAAGCCACATTGTTGGCTCCTAAACCAAAATGTTTACAGAGGTCCATGTCAGAAAAAAAAAAAAAAAGTACAGAAGTCCAGGTGTCAGGCTGACAGGGGAAAGGCCATCTGGAATGTCTGCCGTCTCTCCTGTTGGATACCAAGATATAAAATGAGTAGAGAGGGCTTTGATTTATGTCTTCTGTGGAAACCATGCTAGTAAATGCTCTCTTTTGTTTGACTTTCTGTAGATAGGATTTTGCTGTGTTGCCCAGGTTGCCTTTGACCTTTGATCCTCCTTCCTGCCTTAGCTTGCTGGAGCGCAGGAGTTTCAGGACTGGATCACTATGCCTGCTGAGATTTGCTCTTTCAGCCTTGAGTCTGTGGGAGATGCGGGCCCACTCTTGGATTTGTAGGTGCGAGCTCACAGGAATGAGCGTTTCAGTCGGGATGTCTAATTTGCTTAGTTCGCCTTTCTTCCTCGGAGAGCGCAGCTAAACTAATTAGAATACCGACTGCCCAGCAAACCACATGACCTGCTCAGAAGGTCATGAATGTCAGAGGCCACAGGATCTGGTTAGCCAGTACATTAGAAAACTGCTCTAGATGGCTTGAGGGGACATCAGGAGCTGCTCACAGTATTTTTAGGAACAAGGGTGAAGGATGCTATTTGTATGCAAAACAGTCTCATAAAGGAAAGATTTTTTTTTAAACTTCACGTTTATGTAATGACATCTTGTAGCCAGCTGCTCCTGCCCATCTGGCAACTTGACGATTTCCTCGTCGTGTCTCCCATACAGAAGTTGCTTACCATCAGGTTTGCCACGAGGCCTGGTTAATTGGTATTAAAACAAAACACCTCGTTGGCCAGATCTACAGTGGTTGCTGGTGGAAGCTGTGAGTGACCTGCAAATCCCTGCCCTGGAGTGGCTGAGAAAATGCAATTACCTCCCTGCGTTCTCCAGAGGCTTCGGGTACTCAACTTAGGAAAAGAGTAACTAGCTTGTTGCTATTTCATGTGTGAAATTTTAATGATTTCCTGGCAGTCTAGTGGTATTCCTCAAGAAAAAAGGGAACCAAATAAGCCCATTTTAGAATTTTTAACTAATAGAGCTAATGAGATTTTGTTGTTGTTGATGGTGGTCTGCCATTCTCATGCCTCGAAACTGATGGATTTCCATTTTTGCAGAAATGTTATTTATGCTCTCTGGGGGTTTTCATTTTATAATTAGAAGGCTCTGCAAGCCTTGTAGGTATGCTCCAAGTGAATGCTCCCGTGTAAACACAAATCTTTTCAGTCCTTAAAGGTAATTACAGCTGACAATAGTAAATGCCAGGATGCTTATTTAAAGAAAGGAGGCCTTTCAGCTTAGAAAACCAGACGTTCTCCAAGGTTATAAGCTCTTCTATAGACAGCAGGTACAAGCCTCGTGGGCAGGGCTAAAAGAAATCTGCTTTTAATAAAGCAGAAGGAAAATAAAAATCACTACTAATCTTCACTTGGTGGTCGTTCTCCCCAGCTGATTGCAGGGCGTTATCCCTCCAGGGTTGGCTCGCAGCACTCCTCTCTGTTTTTGATCAGTTATTTCGTAATCATCTTGTGGGGTACACTACAGTGCAGGGGATAGTCTCGATTAACACGGAGGGATTGCCATGGAGACAGATTCCCTGGTGTCGGCTCTTGCCTGGTGTTGGGAATTTACAGTCCCCAGACAGCGTAGTTACCAGGGTCGCTTCTGGAAGTCATTCCTAGCTTCTTTGAAGGGCGGTGGTGTTTGAAAACCCCTTGGTTCCTCTCTGGGCAGGAGCGGTGCTGCCTCTACTTCTGCGTGTGGCTGCCTTATTCAGCTCCATCTGAATGGCTGCTGCAAAAAATAATGCCTGCCTGACCTTTAGAATATGAACTGGCGAGAGCTCCCTGTTTACATGCAGCTTTGTAGGAGGTGTGGACGGGCTGATTCAGAGGAGTGCTCATGAGAAACCAGAAAGACCGCTGTGGTTTTCAAACACTGTTTTAATAATGATAAAAATAGCCCTGAAATGGACTTGTGTAACTGGTGTTTTTGAAAAGAGTCCTGGCCACACAGGTATTTTGAATATACTAGAAAAATTAATTCAGAGTAAAAGTAAAAAATACTGGAACTGCCAAGCATCTGAGGCTGCCCACGTGCCAGGGAGCGGCGGGAGAACGGGGTGGTACTTGAGACTGGTGCCAGTCTTGCTCGTGACATCCGCTGTCTTTAGAACAATTCGGTGAGGAAGCCATGTCGTTTCCTCTTCTCCTTTACAAAAAACAAACGGAGAGGCCAAGCAGGCTATGGGCCTGTGATTAATTAGGCCTGTGAAAACGTTTAGTGTGGCTTCAGGACCATGTTGTAGCACTGGAGATGTGAGAGCCTCGTGATCATTTTCAGGGGGCCCATAGCAGCATCGTCATCTTGTGGACCTCTGTAACCAGGGGCGTCACTGACGTCTCGGTAATGCTGTCGTCTGTAGATGACAGAAGGAAGTTTCAGGGAGACTCAGATCTGTGACTTTTGGCTTGAGCGGGCCATTTGTGGGTCACAGGAGTTAATCCTTGGTCCCTACCTGTCTGGATGAATCAAAACAAAACAAAGAACCCATGGGCAACCCTTAGTTCGCCTAGCCTCCTGATGTCATTGCCTGTCCGGCCATAGCGAGTGCATCTCTTCCAGATGTTTGTGGATTTTATCTCTACCTGCAGTGACTGAGTCTGTGGATGATATGGTTATGGTTGACCAGTTTCTGGGTCCACACAGTTAAGAATCTCAACTTCAGCATGTTGAAGCAGGAAGGTTAAACTCACAGTGTCCTGGATTGCTGTGTTTCCCAAATTTTACAAGCCATCCAAAATATAACCATAGGTAGGGCATGACAAATGCCCAGGTGTCAGGGGCAGATTCCTTAACAGGGGCAGAATTAGAAAGGAGGAAAAGGCTTTCCATGGTTCTGATATGTGCTGCACATTGCCTGGGCCGTCTGGGGGCGTATTCTGAGTTCTCTGTGTGGTTGGAAATGGCGGCGTTCATCCTGATCCATCCACTCACCCATCCATCTGTCCAGCCAGCCATCCACTCATCTCTCTCGCCATTCTCATAGCCCCTGGGCTTAACAGGCTGTAGAGAATGTAGATTCTCTAATTGAATAGACTATAGATTCTTTAATTGAATAAAACCCTTCTCCACCCTAAGGTTGTTGATGAACATTTTAAGCCAGGGATTGGTGCTTGACAAGATACTGATTTGGTCCAGGTTCAGCCAAAGGCCACCAGGATCTTCCAGTTTTATTTCCAGTCAATAATTTCAGAGAAAAGTATACATATAGAATATAGTCCAGTCGAAGGGGGAAGGTAGGGAGGCTTATGCGGGGAAGCGTGGATTATCCAAACTTTGCTTCATGGTGCTGTTTTAGATGGTACTGGCACATAGTGAGATCACTGATGCTAACTTTACCTCCACGGAAGCCTGCATACAAGCAGCAATCCAGGCCCTCACAGTGTTTTGCTTATGCTGAGATAATGTGCACTATGTTCAGGTGGGTTCCCCGAGCCATGAATACACTGTTCATGAAAGTACAGATTAAGATCTCAGATCCTCTGTCTTTGTTCCCACTTTGGGCTCAGGGCGGGGAAATTTTTGCAGAACGGATAATATGGACTGGGAAGCTGAGTGAGGCCTGGGCTGTCCTGATGCACAGGGGCTGGAGTGAGAGTGGGAAGTTGCTGGTAAACGCTGTGGTCGAGAAGCCTGGTTGGCAGAGGTTTGCTTTTTGGAAAGACAGTTGAGAAAGGCAGGCTGTGTGGTTTCATGGCATCGGCTTCTCGCATTCTGTCTGTGCCTGATGCTTTTGCTGTTGGGGCAGCCCTTGGTCAGCTTGAGGTCTGTGCCTTTTCCCACATTTGCATTGCCAAATTGAGCAGGGCTTCCTTTGAAGGCCCAGCAAAGCCTGCTCTGCAGGCTGAGAGTGGATTCTAGATTGGCTGTCTTGTTTTTTTTTCTTCTTCTTCTTCCCTGGGACTACCTGACATCACAAGAAATTATTCTATTTGAACTCTCCAGCAGAGCCAATTAATCCAGGCTTCCTGGGGGAGATCATGGTGGTGGAGAGAGTGATTGCACAGGGCAGGTCCGGTCCTTGAGTTGAAGCTGCCCTGACTTCCTCCCCCTGGCTCCTGAGAGTCTCAGGATGGCAGGACTGGGGTCCCACAGCATTCTAGTTAAACAGTGGCCCTGTGTTTCTTGCTTTGGCTGTTCCTACTAATGACACAGTAACATAATTAATTGGTAATTAGGATGCCTCAGAGGTCTGGTTCCCTTTGAATCAGTGGCTAGAGAGAATATGATTCTGGTAAGTGCTAGCATATTTCTCCACAAAAAGAAAATGCGTGCAGGAGCTCCCAGGCAGTGCTTGGCCTGTTACCAACGCTGTGACCAGTGGATCCGTTTTACTTCTGCCATGCATCCTTGGTCCAGCATTGGCCATTTACCTTTCTTCCCAAATAGAAAGAACAGACGTCAGAGGCCTCTGTATTGTGTCTGCTGTGTGTTTGTCACTGGGGTGACTATTTTTAGAATTCTTCCTGGAGGGTTGCATGCTTGATTTCTTTAGTCCTCAGCGCCCCACTTGCTGTGTTTTCTCAGGGGAAGCTGTGCCTGAAGACGAACAAATCAGTGCCAAGGACCAAAAGAACCTGGAGCCCTGCGACAACACACCCATCCTAGACAACATCACGCCCGTCGTTGTCGGCATCTCCGCCGAGAAGGAGAAGTATGACGAGGAGCTCTCCAGTCTGTACCGGCAGCTTGACGATAAGGTCTGAGGTTCAGGGCAAGAACTCTGTCTCCACGGGCCCCAAAGACGCCACTCAGTCCCAGTTAAAGAGATAAGTCGTGTTATCTCCTAATGGCAAAGAGATAAGTAAGAGGAAGATTCCATCAGTGTTGCCACATCAGGGAGAAGAATGCATGTGGGGCTCCATGACCCCAGTTCCTTCTTTAGGGCTAAACAGGGGAGGCGCTGGGGCGGGACGCAAAAGGTGTGCATAATGAAGCGGTCCTGGTCAAGGCGTGGCCACTGTCTCAGTTTTGGCTCTCCTGGGTGCTTATTGCACCTGGGGGGACAAGTCAGTTCCTAGGAGTTGAGTCTCTCATTTGAAGACCTCACCATGTGGTAATGTGTCTGCTAGGTTTTGCTCTTACTGGAACCCAAGGGCCCTACAGGTTTAGGTTAGTGATTGTGGTCATTCAGGGACCTTTGAGGGGGTCTGGGACAGGACACTGGAAAACCTTACTGTAAAGTTCCTCAGTTACTCTTCTGTTTGTGCCTTCAGACTTGAAGGGGGACAAGATGGGTTAGATAGCACAGGTTTTGAGATAAATACCCCCTGAGTTATTAACATGCTTATATGCAGAATTAATCAGGCGACTGACACAAAGCACAGAGAGATACAGGATGAAAATGGAGGCAATAGACTTTGATCCGGCTTTTCCTTGCTTTGTGGGGCCAGTGCTTCCTGACAGAGACAGCTTCTGCATGCCTGTTATATGTATTAGCCAGGCCTTCACTGACCGCCTTCACCCTGGGGCACAGACAGAGGGTAGCAAGCGCATTCAGCACCAAGCCCCCTGGAGCTGAGATGGGGCTGCAGACCACTGTGGATGTCTAGCTTCCTGATTCCTGGTTTCTGGTTTGATTGCTCTGGGAGTAGAAACCTTCATGGAAGATTGATTAGAAGAACCAGGAAGTTGGGGGCCGGTGGTCTGGGTAGACAAGCGCTCACCTTCGAGCTGTCTGTCTGTGTAGATTGCTGCAGGAGAGAAGGGCCGTGTGAGTGTGCATGGGTGTGCTTGCCTCTTTCCTTTTCTTCTTGGAAAAATCAACAGTAACCTCGGCCTGGGACAAGGCAGGTGACTCCGAGGACTCACGTGGGACTTTAATCAGGTGGCTCTAAGGCCCTGAGCTTCGGACCTAATCACGTTAGAGACGATGGCCTTTCTGCTGTGAAGCCCTTTTCAGAGTTGAGTGATGTAGTTTGACCATGCTAATTGGGGATACTGAATTCTAGGACAAACTTTTAGGGCTCGGGTAGTCACGTAACTGAGTAACTGTGAAGGTTGGCATAACGAGAAAGACTCTGCGTACAGCATGTACCGGTCATCCCCAGTAAAGGTCCAGTTAGGAACCCCTGAGGCACAGAGACTAAATCAGCGTGTCATGTGATTCCAGCACATTACCCCCTGGGATACCCGAAGCTCTTTCAGTTCATTTCATCAAGGTTGCTGCTATTGTCAGTCTGGTTTAATCTTTTCTCTGGTGGTTCGGCTCAGGTGCCATGGGGACACCTCTGGCCTGGATGTAATAGCTTTGTTCTGGGGATGTCACCGTTAATCTCACAGGGCTCTGTCTTTGGGGTGAAGCCCAGAGTCTGGTGTCACCTTTGCAAGCTGAATGTGACTGGCTGTCTTGAGGATGCTCCTTCCGCTTGTTTGTAGTTCTGGGAGTTAATATGATCCCCAAAGATTAAATCCTACCCTTCAAAAACCCAACTCGCAAATCCCCATACCCACGAGAACTGGGTACTTACTTTGTCCTTCATGCCCTTCATGTACTCTTTGCCTTTATTTTACCTGAGTGTTACACTCACTCAAGATCTTAATGCAAAAGGAGATCAATAGTAAGTCAATCTTTTATGCTAACTTTCTGATTTTTCCAAAGAACTTTTAATGTTTTGAACAGTGAAGAAAACCAGATGTAATCCCTTCCCCACCTCACAGATTCTGGCTTCTACAGATTCTTGGATGGCGGGTCAGAATCGGTTCTGTGATGCTGAGGTGTGGGAGGGAACAGAGCCCAGAGGCGATGTCCTGCAGGGCGTCAAGCCCGTGATCCACTGCCAGTCGTGTGTGTGAGCTGCTCGATTATGTCCCCTCAGCTCTCATCCTTGTGCGTTCCCTCAGACTCCAAAAGAAAGCTCCCTGCTTCTGGTGACTTAGGCCTTTAGGTGTTTTGAGAACGCACGGTTGGGTCATAGCGTCTTCTTGGATTACTGAATGGTGGGACTGGAAGTGTCTGGAGGGAGGTGAAGCCTTCGCCTGGGTAGCTGCATGTGTCTTCCCTAAGTTTTCACAGCCCATTGGTGGCAGAACAGGGATGAGTTTTCCTAGCTCTTGATCCTGAGCCCCACACAAATTTTATTGGTCATTTATGGTGAATCTTTTTATGATGCAGCGGGAGGAAGAAAACACAGTTTCTCCAAAACCCTCTGTACTGTTCCTCATGGGTCTAAGGACAGATACACCCCAAGGTCCAGCTGTCTGATGGAAAAGCGTGCCCTTTGTAGTAGACCTGTGGCTTAATGATAAGAGGCCCGAGGGAGATGCCCTGCCTGCCCGTGTGCTATCCTCCCTCATCCGTGTCTCAGGACTCCTGGATACCACTTCAGAGATGCTAAAATCTTTAGTATATAATAGTATAACTACTAGATTCCTCATTATTCTCCTCCGTGTGTTCTCTTTGCTTGAGGGAGAAGCCACGCCATGTGGTGACGTCAAAGGACTGTCCGTATGATGGGCATCGGGTTATAGCATTCAAACATTGATGTTGGCCCTGTCTCTCATTGGAGACAGTGAATTCAGGATCTGCAAGTTGATTACGTACTGTACTAATTACTGGGTAGTAGAAACATCTCCAGAATTAAAGGTCACCAGTGACCTTTTGACAACTGAGGTGACCATATTATCTCATGTATAAGATATTCCCACTACAAAATTAATTTTTGAAAAGTGCGTTGAAATCTGTAATCTTGGTGTGAGCGTGCTTAAACATGTCCTGAGAGATATACTTGACCTGCAGAAAAGCACAGCATACCTTATTCAGAAAGGCTTAGGAGATGAAAGTGAAGTTAGACTAGACAGCACTAAATCCTTAGAAAGTTGCCGTCCTAAAGGGCGAATCTACGTTGGGAAATGATGCTAGTACTGATTCGCTCTCTAATGGAATCCTATTTTCATCCTTCCCGGATGGGGCTGCCCGCCCCCTTTTAAATCACATCTCAGCTTGTCACCTGTCAGGGAGGAAGGTGCATCTTCAGGCTTTGCCAAGAGCGCAAGGTACCTTGCCCTTCCCTTCTCATTTCTGTCACTTGGGGGCAGGTTTCTCTTATTTTCTTAGAGGAGAGATAAGATAGTGGATCCTGAGGGCCAGTTCTCTGGGTCTGTTATGTTAAGCTGTTTACCCTTCTTGTGCTGAGGAACAGAAATACAGAATTGATCCTTGTAACTGCCATGCTAAGTATATGGAGGTGAGGAGAAACATGTCCTACAAAATGGTGAGTTAGCTGCAGGGGCGCCCGTTCTTGGCAGGTTTGCTGTGCTGTCGTTTCTCTCGTTCTTCTGCCGGCAATCTGAGCGGGGAGGAACACCATCAGTATTGTATACAGCCATTGACGGAACAGTAGCGTATGAAGTTCAGGCAAATGGGCTCTCTGAGCAGAGACGCTGAGACCCATGTGTAGGAAAGACCAAGGCACGGGCTCAGGACGTTCCAAGCCTATGCTACAGACCTAAGAATGCTGGTGCTCTCTGGAAGGCACTAGCTGCACCATACACAAACCACAGGCCAGCACTGATGTAGACGCCACCACACATGCTGTGGATGTCTGTGGAAAACAGGTCCTGTCATTCACCCCCTTACCTCACCTCTGGAACAGATCCAGAGCGCGGCAGTGACGGGTGGGGTAAGGTTAATGGGGAAACAGAAGCAGGACCTGGCACAATGACAGTGTAATACACGGAGCTGGATTTGACTGCTTACCGGGCGCACATCCTGAGACAGGTCAACAAGCAGCACGTTTTCTCTCATAACTGAAGGATAGGTGAGCCTGAAGCCCCTTTGTCATTTTTCACAGACTGGACTTAAAATTTTATTTGAAATCTTGAAAACAGAGCAGTAAAGGCCACGTTCTGCCTCAGTGGTTAGGCGTCAAGGCTGGCTGCCTCTCCTTCATTAGAGGGGGCTTCCTGGCAGGGAGAGGCCTGCAACATTCTTGCTTTCTCAGCAGCGACACCTAGCGGCACTGAAGAGAGCTGCTGTTTTCCCCACTGTAGTAGCTACTTTGAAAGAGGCATTCCTGTGTGCACACCCAGTTGGTGGCAAGGTTTGTATGCTTGTTTTCAGCTAAGAAGACTATTGATAGCCAACCAAGAGGGCTGTCTATTGATACCAAAGAGAAAACCCCACATATGCACCAGTTTTGCTACGCTAAGTAAACGGTAATGGTCCGTCCTTCCTGTCACTCGGCAGCATTCCTGGTCATGGATGCGCTTGACAGTCCGTTCCGCTAACATCTGTGTTTGGGGAAGGATATATCTGGAGTCCTTTTTAGTTCCCAAGTCCCAGACATCTGATTTCTGGATGGACAGAATTTGGGGTTGCTCTGTAGCTGTCGCATTTCCCAGGAAAAAGGCTGGGTAAAGAAATACACCAATCAACGAGCTCCCAGGATTGTCTCCTGCGGTCCCCGCCTCCCCCTCATCTAACGAGCAAACTTAGGACTGGCCTCTTGGTGTCTGATTCCGGAAGGGAAACCAGGGTATTCAAACTGACATAACTAACCAAAAACTAAACATGCTGTTTCGTTGCAGGATGATGAAATTAACCAGCAGAGCCAGCTGGCTGAGAAGCTGAAGCAGCAGATGTTGGATCAGGACGAGGTAAAGAATGCAATAAATTCTTTTTTATAGATTTTTTTGTACTAGTTTTTGTTGTTAATGTTAGTCCCAGAAATATAATTCGCAAATAACTTTTTCAAGACCTTAAAGCATGTGGAGATTTCTTGGTAGATTCTCTTACCAGTGCCTGCTAAAGGGCGACTGTGACTGGGCCTAGACAACAAGTGTGTGACTTTGTAGTTAGTCTGTGCTCCACTTAGTTCTGGGAGGGCAGGCGCCTCTCTCCAGGTGGCTGGGGGAGGCTCTCGCTCAGCCCCAGCAAAGCAGCACTCTGCTAGCTGAGGATGCTTCACTTGTGCACGTGAGCCGCTGCACAGGAACAGAATGGTTTGTCTATGGCATGTTCACACGAGTTGAATGCACGTCGATTACATTCGCCCCCTGTTCTCCTTTCCTGTCCCACCTCCCTTTCCTGCTTTTTTTTTTCTACTTCCTTTTCCAAGCTAACCCGCTAAAGTCCATATAGAACAAATGCGACATTTGTCTTCCCGCGTCTGGCTAGTTTTCTTAATGTGGCGTCTCAGATCTTTCCCTACAGATGACATAATCTTCTATTTATTGCTAAATAAAATTTCATTATGTGTATATATCTATTAGTCATGTCATCTTTTTACCTGCCTTTCGATTTGTCCATACATCTGTCCATCCATCCGTCCACCCATCCATCCATCTGTCCATCCATCCATCCATCCATCCATCCATCCATCCATCCATCCATCC